AAAAGATATTTCATGAAAATGGAAACAAACAAACAAAAAAGCTGGGTAGCAGTACTTATACTAGGCAAAAGAGACATTAAAACAAAGGATATAACAAGAGACAAAGAAGGACTCAGTAATCCCACTTCTGGGTATTTATCCAAAGAAACCTGAAACACTACTTAGAAGGGACATGCGTATCAATATGTTCATTGCAGCATTATTTACAGTAGCCAAGAAAGGGAAGCAATCTGGGTGTCCACTAATGGAGAAATAGATAAAGAAATGGTAGGTATATATACAATGGAAATGTTATTCAGCCATAAAAAATAAAATAAAATCATGCCATTTATAACTATGGATGACCTAGAACAGAGGTCCTCAATCCCTGGGCCGCGGACCAGTATCTATTCATGGTCTGCTAGGAACGGGCTCACACAGCAGGAGGTGAGTGGCAAGCCAGTGAGCCAAGCTTCATCTGTATTTGCAGCCGCTCCCCAGCGCTAGCATCACCACCTCAGCTCCACCTCAGATCATCAGGCATTAGACTCTCATAGGAGCTCTTATTTCTGGTGCTAAAAAGGTTGAGGACTGCTGACCTAGAGGATACTGTGCTGAGTAGAGCAAGTAAAAAAGAGAAAGGCAAATGTCATGTAATTTCACTTATATGTGGAATCTAAAAAATAAAATAAATGAACAAATGAAACAAAAACAAATTCATAGATACAGAGAATATTTTGATGGTCGACAGATGAAAAAGAGGTTGCGAGTTGAAGAAAAAAGGAAAGGTATTAATAAGTACAAATTGGTAGTTACAAAATGGTCATAGGGGTATAAAGTACAGCACAAAGAATATAGTCAATAATATTGTAATAACTATGTATGGTGTCAGAGAGGTACTAGATTTCTCAGGGTGATTACTTCATAAGTTTTATAAATGTCTAATCACTACGTTGTACACCTGAAACTAATATATTGTATGTCAACTGTAATTGAAAAATTAAAAAAATATTTTAAATATGGTTAAGGTGAGCAAATTTCATTACATGTATTTTACCACAATTATTTTTTAAATTTTTAAAATAAAAAAACTAAGTACAGTACATATCAAAATTTATGAGAGAAAACTAAAATGCACTTAAATGAAAATATATAAAGTGCATAAAGTACTCTTTAAGAGAAATTTATAACATAATGATTAAGAAAATAATCTGGAGCCAGATAGCAACTAACTGAACAACCTTGATTCTAATGAGTGTCCTTGAACATTTTTCTTAAATACTTTTACTATTAAACTCAAAGGATTCAAAAATTAACTAAAACAATCATCTTAACAAGTTGGAAAAAATATAGGAAGGAAGGAGGAAAAAGGAAAGGAAGAAAGGAAGGAAAGAAGAAGGAAAGGAGGGAGGAGAGAAAGAAAGGAAGGAAAAAAAGGAAGAAGGGAGGGAGAGAAAGGAAAGAAAAACATTAAAGATAAAGATAGGAGCTAATATAGAAAAAATAACAATAGAGAAATTATCAAAACTAAAAGCTTATTTATCTAAAATATTAACAAGATAGTAGAAGTTCAGTGAGACTCATTGAGAAAGTGAAAAACTAAATTAAAAACTAGAATAAACAGAAAAAATAACTGCAAATAGAGATTTCAAAATATAAAATCATTTCGGAGTAACTGTTTGCTAGTATATTTATTAAAAATTGAAGTTGAAAAAGTCCTAGGCATAAATATTAAAATTGGTACAAATATAAACAGAAGCTTTAAGTAGACAGCTATGGACATGTCCTACCAAATTTTATGACTACTACAAATCTGTAGG